GGAAAGGAGTTTATTTAAGAAAGCATAAAATCTTTTTATAAGGTAAAGCTTAAAAATAATATTAACTTAATATTAACTTAAACTTAAAGTAAATTAACTATATATTAATTAATTTAGCTTTATAAAAATACTTAAAATTTAAGAAATTTTTATTAATAAAGTAAATTATTTATAATTAAGTATTAATTAATTATAAATTATATAATAAATTTATAATTTTAAAGTTTTAAGTAAGAAAGCTTATATAAAAGGCTTATATTAAAGGATTATAAGAATATTATTAGCTTAATTATTAATTTATATTTAAATAATTACTTTTTATTAATTTATTTTAATTAATATATTAAATTATAAAAGTTAAAGTATATTAATTATAAATAATAAATTAAGCTTTTAATATAATTAAAAGATATTAAGATATAATTAAATAGTTAAGTAAAGAATAATATTTAATTTATAATTAAATTATAATATTCTTTATTTTTTATTATATAGCTATTTTTTAAGATTTATTATAAAAATTTAAAGAAAAAGAATATATTATAATTTAAGCTTTGCTTATTATAATTAATTAATAAGCTTTAGCCTTATAAAAATAAGCTTTAATATAAATATAAATAAAGAGTAAACCTTTTTCTTTATACTTTAAATATAAACCCTATTTAAATACTTTATGGCAAATAACCCAAGGCTAGCTTATAATATTATAAGGCTAAAGCCTATTAATTAATTACAATGAGCAAAGCCTAAACCGTAATAAATACTTTAAATACTTTAAAGTATTAATAATTAAATAATTTAATTAAGTAATTTAAGTAATTTAAGTATTTAAATTACTTAAATATATTTAAATTTAAATACTTATACTTAACTTATTAAAGCAATAATTATAAAGTACTTAACTCTTTATAGCTTTTTAAAAGATAAAATATTTATATTAATTAAGCAATTTAATTAGCTAAGCAATAATTTAAAGAAAAGCATAATTTTAAAGCATTTACATATATATATATAAAAGACTGTTAATATAAAAATAATATATATAAGTATTATATGCAGCATGCCTATATAGTAAATGCGCTGCAAGCAATATATAGATTTAAAGGTGCAAGGTTTAAATTAATCTTATTAATAACAGCTGCCAGCCGGCGCCAGCCGGCGCCAGCCGGCTACTAGCTAGCGGTCACATACCCCGCGCACAAACCACCATAGCTAGTTTATAGCTAGACAAGAAAAGGCTGCAGCTTTTTGCTGCAACCTACCCTTTACACCATAGCCAAATTAATTACACTATTATGGGCTAGCCTTGGGTTATTTGCTATAAAATGTTTAAATAAGGTTTATATTTAAAGTATAAAGGGAAAGGTTTACTTCTTATTTATATTTATGCTAAAGCTTATTTTTATAAGGCTAAAGCTTATTAATTAATTATAATAAGCAAAGCTTAAATTATAATATATCCTTTTTTTTAAAATTTTTATAATAAGCCTTAAAAAGCAGCTATATAATAAAAAATAAAGAATATTATAATTTAATTATAAATTAAATATTATTCTTTATTTAATTATTTAATTATACTTTAGCGCTTCTTAATTATATTAAAGGCTTAATTTATTATTTATAATTAATATACTTTAATTCTTATAATTTAATATATTAATTAAAGTAAATTAATAAAAAATAATTATTTAAATATAAGTTAATAATTAAATTAATAATATTTTTATAATCTTTTAATATAAGCTTTTTTATATAAGCTATTTTACTTAAAATCTTAAAATTATAAATTTATTATATAATTTATAATTAATTAATGTTTAATTATAAGTAATTTACTTTATTAATAAGAATTTTTTAAATTTTAAGTATTTTTATAATATTAAATTAATTAATATATAATTAATTTACTTTAAGCTTAAGCCGGCATTAAGTTAATATTGCTTTTAAGCCTTACCTTATAAAAAAAATTTTATACCCCCCTTAAATAAACTTCTCCCTCTTATTAACTTTAATTAATAAAAATTGCATTCTTATTCTTTCATAGTAATTTAAATAGTTATGCTTATAATAGCTAAATTGATTATATATAAAATACTTAACTTTGCTTATTAAAATTACTATAATATTAATATTTATTGCTTTGCTGTTTTAAGGTTAAGTATTATTTTTTTTTATTATAATGCTAAAAATGCCTTTATATTATTATAAGATAAAGTAAAAGGCCTTAAATATATTTAATTATTCTTTATAATTAAGCTAAGCTTTTATTATAAAAATTAAGCTATTAATTATTAATAATATTTTGTACTTATTTAGCTAACTTTAAGTTTTTGCTATATAAGTTAATTAATTAAATTAAGCAAGAAATTTTATTATCCCTTCCTTATAATGCTGCTATAATGCAATTAAGCTAAGCCTAATATACCTTTACTTAAAAGGGTTTCTAAGCATAAAGCAAACCTTTTTTAAAAAGCTTTTTAATTATCCCTTAAATATTTTTATAAAATTAATATAAGATAAAAATTAATTATAAAAAGTTTTTAATTAATTAAATATATAAAAGAATTAAGCCCCTTTGGCGCTAATTACCTTTTTATTTATTATAAACTTAGCTCTTATCTTTATTAGCTAAGTTACTAAGTATTCTTAAAATAAGAGTTTCTTTAAATAGGGAAGGGCTTAATGGGTTGCCGTTATTCTTTTTAAGTTTTATTATACTAGGTTTTATATAATTGCATTATAAGTTTATAATGCAAAAAGACTTTAAATATATATTATAAGCTAGCCTTGGGTTATTTGCTATAAGGTATTTAAATAGGGTTTATATTTAAAGTACAAAGGGGAAGGTTTACTTTCCGTTTATATCCGCGCCGAAGCCTATTCTTATAGGGCCAAAGCCCACTAACTAATCACAATGGGCAAAGCCCAAACCGTAACATACACACTGTATTTGGCTATCACCACAACCTTACCGTATGGTACCCATCGACATTTTATACAATATAATTATTTATTTATTTAAAGCTGAAGAGTAGATATTTTTAGAATTAAAATAGAATTAATTAAGTGTGTTTTAAAAGTGTGAGTTTTAAGGTGCGTTTGCACCAGAAAGAGTGGCGCGGCAGAACAGGGGGTGCGGCAGATCTGGGCCGGGGACGTTACATCAAAGATAAGTGATGTCCACAAAAAGCTGAGTCGAATCCATTCTTACCTTTTATTTTGAACTATTTGGCTGAAGCATTCTTAAAGTGTAATGCTTGGATTTCCTGTGCTCTCAAATTGTCGTCGATTTACTTCCTGGTCTGCGTTTCGTCGTGGCCAATGGCCCCACCAGGTCAGGAAACTGCTGACATCGTGTCAAGTTCTATTACCTGACTGAATCAGATTAGATCAGCGTTACCATGATAACAAACAGCTAATTTTGCACCATCGGAAGCTTTCAGTGACTACATAAGACTTATAGCTGAACTGTTTTGACGCATAACTTATTGTAAGTTCTGAGACTGGCAATGAATGGTAATACAGACGAGCAAAGTTTGTTAATACATCAAAGACGGGTCCTCCGGGATAAAATTATTCAACCCAGCGCATCGCAGATGGAATCAGGTGATACTATGTTCAAAATCTGCGATAAACAATGACAGGATCTGATTTATCATTTCGCATGCTCCCCGCCGAGTCGCACCCCGGCCTCACCCACAACACGCGGCAGAATCCGGGGAAGAGACCTGGCCAGAACTAAGCCAACACAGACTCGCTTCGCAAATCTGGCAAATGATTGACTTCCCCTTTCGCATTTCCCATCCCATCAGGACAACAACGTACGTTTGGGTCACCCCAACAGGTTAGCACCAATTGGGGGCAGAGGCCCACCTCCACCGATCCCTCCCGAAAACGCGACGCCTGGAAATAATCATCCGCTGACTGAATCCTACGATCACACCACCATCAGCCTAAGACCGGACCATCTTAGGCATCTGCTGAGAATCAGACACGCCATGCTCAGAATTTCAGCTGCTCTACTAATTCGCGGTCGTGGACGTGGAAGTTATAAAGATGAAGACCATCGTTTCATCATGCAACGACATTGAGAACACCCTCAACCCACACAAACGCACCAAATCCACAATACTGATTCAATTGATTGGATCCCGTCACTTGTTCGAAGTATTCCTAGGTCGCTTACATTGCTGATTGGACCGTCGTACTCTTATCCCCAGCCAGTCCTCAAGTCGACCAATCACAAGTCCTCTTGAAGCTCATGCCAACCAACATGCCAGCAGCACCGATGAAGCCTCTGCCCGGTACCAGATACGGACCAGCCATTCTAGCGGTCGCTTCTTGTAAGTTGGAAACTAATATCAAGCAAATTGGAAGACTACTGCCGCACGATCCCTTATGTCGAACTCAACAAAGAACTGCAGCTATCACATGTCTTTCCCCACCAGATGAAGCAGGACACCCAAATCAACTTGGACTTAGAGGGTGACAGCTAATTGAAATAATAAATAGTGTCCGCAGTAGCTACATACGTCCAATGGCAACTGCAAAAATCATCTCGCACATACGACCGGATGTTTGCTCAATACCAAAGCGCTGAGAGCGAGGCATCGCGGCAAAGGGTGTTTGAGGACCAAGGCAGGGGCGATCCGAGGCGGAGCGTTTTCAATGTCCTGGGTTGGCGCAAGTGATGATTGGGCTGGTCAAAGGGGCATCTTGGGGGCCTGGAGCGTTCGCATTGCATTGGACCGGAGTTGTGGGAAAGGTTGACATTCAGGTATATTTAAATGGTGCGGTGTTCAATATGCAGTTTTGGATGAATTCGCTCAGAGGACGCCACCAACACTGTGGCGGGCAGGACGGAGACGTCTGATGCATGTTTGACAGTAGCTACTTATTAAACTCATCTTACCCATATTACCAAAGCTCTATATTGTGCAGCGCTCCTTGACGCCGGCTTTAAAATGTCTCCCTGTCCAGGTATGCGCTCGTCTTAAGATCTAGTCATGGTATCTCTGAATTCTAGCCGCTTCTTCTATATCAGCCTGCCTCAATGCATCCAAAATGGGTATCTCGTCCAAGGAGTAGAATTTGGTCTTCTTATAGAATTTCCAAATCAAAAATGCGGAGATGACAAGAGGAATATCCCTATAGACGCGTTAGAAAGCCAATGAAATCGTAGGGTGTAGCAGGGTGAACCAACAAGTAAGATGACACGAAGGTCTCAGGGTCCCAATTGCCCTTGGTGAAACAGCTGAACCCGTTCGTTAGGAGGATAATTATGCACAAGCACAATGAGACACAAGAACTGTAAACTATGTGTGCGACCTTGTCAGCATTGATTGGCCATGATCAGTTTATGACGAGGTCCAGCTCACATGTCCAGGAGTTATGCCACGGCAATCTCGCGACGGGGATCCCCTGTTTCTTCATCGCCAGCTTCAAGCGGAGATGATTCAGCAGGATTGTGCACCAACTGACTAGCACGCCCGCGGCAGTGAGGTCGACAAGCCACCAGAAGACTGTCATGGCGTTGTTGCTCAGCGTCAGGAAGCTGAGGAACATGAAGAGCGTGAACAAGGCGACACACATGTAGGGCGTTCCCCACGACGTAGTCCGCAAGAAGATCTTGGGGGCTTGACCCTTGAGCGCGAGACCGTACAAGACTCTCGTACCAGCCATGAGCGACTGATTGCTTGCGCTCCATGCGCTCGTGATGACGATGGCATTGACGACGCTGGGAATTGCCTTGATGCCAGCGGCACTGGCAGCGATAACGAAGGGGCTCTGTGCTGCAGTACCGCTTTCATCGCCCAAGCGCGGGTCGTTGCTGGGGACCAGCATTCCCACAACGAGCACCGCAAGCATGTAGAATAACAGAACTCGGGCGAAGACCTGTCTGCAGGCGCGAGGGATTGCTCGGCGTGGGCTCTGGGTCTCAGCTGCTGCCATAGCAATAGACTCAACTCCCGCGAAGGAGAATACGGCGGAGGTCATGACGCCCCAGAAGCCGAGAAATTTCCCCCAGTCGCCAGTTCCGATGTACTCGACAAATGGTCCGGGGTTCTGCCAGTACTTGAAGCCGATGCGAGGTGTTCCCGGGATGCCACCGAGGTCAATCACCAGACCGAGGATGATGAGAAACACGACCAGGAGGATCTTGAGGACGGCGAAGAAGAACTCGACCTCACCGAAGATCCGAACAAATGCAACGCCCACGACGACAGTCACGATGATGAAAATAACGATCCAGAGGGCGCTGTTGATGTCAGTCCAGAACTGGAAGAGCACGCAGATGGCCGTGATCTCAGAGGGAATGCTGAGAAGATTTCCATAGACGAGATTCCATCCGATGGCAAATTCCAGGGCTGGATCTACCAGGAATCCAGCATGTCTGACGAAACTCCCCGTGACCTATGCCCTGTCAGTCATGCGCTCGGCACCGTCTTGAAGTGTTGGTCCATGAGCACTCACCGGTAACAGAGCTGTCACTTCGCCCAGGGCAAACTGGACAGAGCAGACGATGCCACCGACCATCGCATATCCAAGCAGAGCACCGAGGGGGCCGCCGGTTTGGATGGCGCCGCCGAGACTGAGGAATAGACCGGTCCCAATGGCCCCAGCGATGCCGAGCATGCCCAGATGACGCTCTGTCAGCCCCCGCTTAAGATCGTGCAGCTCTGCCGCCGTGACGAGATCGCCGCCGTGGTCGTCCACATCAGACTCATTAATGCCATCTTCGAGACCGTTGCCGCTGCCGCTGCCGTTCGGGTGATGATGCCCAGATACCAAGCCGCGGGAGTGGCTGTCGACGGGACGGGGCTCGACGGGACGGGGCTCGACGGCCACCAGAGCAGGGGCCTTCCCCGCCGCTGCCTCCGAGACGACGTCTTGGTCCTGGTCCGAGTCGCTGTTCTTGCTCATTGCTGCGGCTCAGGAATCACTGCAAGACCCCAAGGCCGGATCGTCCCAAGTCCAAGAGGAATGCGCCTCGGTGACCCGGGAGGTGAGCCGCGGTTTTGTGTGCTTTTTGGCTCATTGCGCCATCGGCGAAGAGATAACGTCGACGCCGCGATTACGTAACCCCTGTCTTGAAAGCCTCACCATTTTAAAAACTCGTCCGATGGTCTAGTCGCTTTGGAGTCTCCATTAGCTCATTTCATTCAAAATATTCATACTGCCAGTGTACTTCCGGTCAGCAGTACGTTCCATTCTATGTCCAATTCAGATTCGATCATGCTACTGCATCACTACTCTCAAAGTCGGGCGCAATGCACAAGAGTAAACGTGGTGCAGATTTCAATTAGAATAATCACTACTTGCATGAATATGATTTTAATCGCAAAACCATCTTCCCGGCCGCATATGCTGGAGACAGTGCTTCTGCAAGATCCAAGGGGCCAGCGCCTTATTGTAGAGGGGCACACTTAATTGCACCTAAAAGCTAATTTCCCATGCCGATATTTAGAGAGCTAAGAGCCATGTAGGATGCAGAAAGGTCAAGAGATAATAGGTCGACGTGGAATATACTCTCGGCTTACCTAGGTGGAATGCGGATTTGGTGAGGTGGCCCAAGTCTTAGCCGCATACCTAGGTAGCATTGCTACTTTCACTGCGCCGCGTGGAAGGGCCTTCCAAAATTCAGACCTCCAGATTGCCAGGATATCTTTGGCGCACTGGCCTTGAGAAGCTAAACTTTTGAGGCTCCTGCTTAGTTAGCTGGGCATTTCGCAGAGCTCTCTCTCTCTCTCTCTCTCTTCGCAAAACAAAAGGTCTGATGGACGAAGCCACTCATGAACAGTGGCAAATGCCCAGGAGTTTCTTGCTACCCATCAAGTTACTACTACCTGTAACACAAGACCATGCTTGTTTTCACTTCCGCGGTATAATTTGACTGCTCCCGGGGCCGAATAGTTTCTGACTTCGAGAGCTGGCATTCAACTAAGGCAAGGAATCGGTCTGGTGGATCTGGCAATTGGATGTAATAAGTGCATCAATGTACCGTTGTGGGAAACTCGAAGCAGTCGGGGCAGTTCAGTGGCAGAATAGTCTTTGGACATCCAGAGGCTCACGGCTTGGAGATGACCTGGCTACCCAACTCAGTGACACAGCACGTCTAGGCTTCTCCCAACATGAGCTTCGGCCCAGAAATTGGCCGGCACACTGGGTGTATATTGGGCACAGGAGGCATCGTGAACAAGGTCGGAAGGAGGAAGAGAGAGAAGAAGAAAAAATTACGAAACATGTAAATGACTCGATGTACTGGTCAGTGGTCAGCACGACGGTGTGCAACGGTCGAGGATTGGTTGTGGCAGAAGCTTATACGACAAAGTTGCTGCTAGCCCTGGGTTTCCTCACATTGGTGACATCACTGTCAAAGCGGTAGATACGTCTTGATCCTTGGTAGTGCCAGCCTCAGAGTGGCAAGGTGCATGACCTGGACCGAGGAGCAACAATCTAGCGGGAATATATTGACCTAGAGCAGCTGACCAGAGAGCAAGGCTCCCTGTGGATAGTGTCTGCGACTGAATTAATTCACAGCAGGAGGCGAGGAAGGATGAGTTTGCACGTGCCTCCTCACGTGAGCTGCAAGGGACCGTGGCAAAGTTCGATGGGAGCGGCCGTACCCAGTGGCGTACCATACCGGGTAGACTACAGTAGGTCGCTGGGCATTTGTCTACCGAGTGTACCTAAGCCACCTAGGGAAGGATGCAGGCTGCTAGGTATTGCTGGGTAGCCTGGGTTTGAGCAAGTGCCAGGTGATGCAAGGACTGGTCTCTGCTCTGTGCCCCCTCCGCCCATCCAGGCCCCTGCAATTGGCTCCAGCACCTGGGTAGGCGGGCAGGTACCTGTGTACACTGTGAGGAATCTCCAGCCTGCTTGCATCCTACTGGAGGGAAAGTCCAGTCCACCTCAGTCCCGTCGGTCATTCAGCCAGTCAAGCCATTCCATGTACTGACAGGTAACCCGCCCGAGGTTCCCCACTGTGGCCACTGGCACAGCAAAAGGTTTTAGCGCCCTGACCTATGAAGCTTCGTTCGTCACACTGGCAGCCAGTAGACTGCCGTGTCAGTCCAGGCCACTGCGGTCCAAGCCTTGCCGGTGATGTTGATTTTTGAAGTCTGATTTTTCCCCGTCAAGCACCACGAACGACCACAACAGGGCTTCCTCTCGCACTGGTATTGCCATTCCATCTCATTCCACAACCACCCCGCTCTTGCAGCCATCTGTAACCTTTTCGATTACTCAATCGCCCCCGTCTCAACGCGTCAGACACCCTCTCGAACACGCCAGAGCTTGTCGTGTCGTCCCGTGTCCGCATCCCTCCCGTCAAGTGAAGCTTCTCGCATCGACCGCGTCTCCTCAGCACCGTCAATCACAGCCGTCCTCCGTCCACGACGACCGCTCCCGACAGCCCTCGACACCTATCTACACCTGTCCAAGCACACACACAAACAATGGCTGGCCCAAACTTGCCATCCAGCTTCGCTTCGGCCGCAGCAGGCCAGAATTCCGGTCGCGACAGAGGCAGCACCCGAGGTGAATTTCGCGGCAGTGGCAGTGGCAGTGGTGACTGGTAAGTGCTTCCTGACGCTGCTATCCTCATTCCTGGTCCTCAAAATCACCCTGTGCCCCCGCGCATTATCATCCCGCAAGCTGCTGTGCCGCCAACGTCTATTAGACCCCCGTCCATATGCCCCTCCCGAAAAGGCTGCGATCCGTCCTCGCCCTGTCCCTTACACCCTGAGCCTGTACATTGCGCGTCTCCCTCCTACCCTCACGTACCGTCAGGGCTGCTCTGGACTGCTTCCTCACTATGCGCGCGCATCTTTTCTAACACCAACCCCTCTTCGCACAGGTTACGAAGGGACGGCCGTTCTAATGGGACTGCCATCCTCCGACGATCCTCAACCACCCCCTTCAACAACCAAGCGTCCGCTCTCCCTGCGATAGACAACCTCCTTAACAGCTCCGTCAACGAGCCTAATCCTTCTTCTGTTTCTCAATTCGCCCCTGCACAAGACACTGCGAACGGCAAATACTCCAGAGACGATCTGTTGGACTTCGGCAAGATGGCAGACCCAGGCCACGTTGATCTGCAAGCACTGTTCATGTCAAGCTTCAGTCCCGACGGCAGTGTCAATGGTCAAAATACCAGGGGCTGGGGCAAGCCTAATGACGCACATGCTCACAACGATCCTTCCGTCTGCTGGGACCAACACGGGGAATTGGGCCCACTTGGTCACCAGGACATGTCCGCCGAGGAAAAGGAGGTGGGTACTCTCTGTGTTCCGCGAATTCTTCTACAATTTGTGCGATCTTGCATGGCTAACCAATCTGTTGTCGGTAGCTCTACGCCTCGGATGTCAATTCTCCCCTGAAACAGCAGCAGCAACAGCAACAGCAACAGCAACAAAATCAGCAGAACAAGGAGGGCGGTCAGAGTGCAGCCGTCAACGGACGAAAATCATCCATGTCTCACAATCTAACTTCGCCCTCCGGCGCACCGAGGCCTGGGACCCGCCGCCGGGAGACCACCGACACCAACCCGTTCTCTGGTGGGGGAGGCTTGATTTCGCCCACCGGCGCTGGGCCGAGTCGATTTGACATGTCGTGGCTGGGAAGGAATCGCGCTGACACGAGGGAGATCGACGCGCCTGACGAATCAAACAAACCCAGCGGCGCTACAGACCCCGCGAGGCCGGCCGGATTCACTGGGCTGGCTCGCAGCAACACCGCGGGTGGTGCTGGATTTCCATCCGTGTGGGGTGCCTCAGCCTCCAACACACCCGTGACTGCGACAGGTTTCGGCGGCTTTGGCAACTTTGCCATCGCCACACCTGGTGGGGTCGAGAAGGGCTTTGGGGCCAGTACCGGCTCCCGCTTCTTCTCCAGGAAGGAAGATAATGGACCTCCAGAAGACGCCGCCAGCGCCTCGAATGGGAATCAGCAATGGACGTCTCGTTCCCGCACCGATACGGACCCTTTTGTAGGGGACGTGGGCCTCAGCGGCAGCGCTGCTCTAGGCGGTGCTCGGGACACAAGCCCTCCCCCTATGCCAACAACGGGACCGCAGATCTTCGACACTCCAGCCAAGGGTACCACGGGCGACTTTGGCATGTCAGGCCTCAGTCTAGGAACTGCCCGGGAGCGGAATGCATCTTCGGCTAGTCCCTCTCAGACCAACCCTTACCGGAGCCCTCCCGCAGAACGTGGAGACAACGAGCATGGCGACTTTGGCTACGACAAGTCTCACCCGATCGGCACGCAATCCGAACAGAATTCGAACTTTGGCTCAATCCGCGGTTTCCCCGCCGCCGCGTTTGAGGGCAGTGACCGCAGCCAAACTTCGAGCGTAGGTGCAAAAAACTACCCATCCCTGGGTAACATAGGGGGTTGGCCCACTGGATTCCCCAGCGCGACCCCCGACCGCGAGCGCTCTGCGTTTGGTGGCGCTTTCGGCAACTCTGTCTTCAGTCCCATCGGCGGCGACATGCACTCCCCTGGCTTGGGCAGCATCGGAGGGCTCTTTGGACCAGGAAACGGTGGCCTTGGAGGAACGGGCTCTCTCAGAGGCAGCAGCAAGATCCAGTCGCTGTTCCCTCCTGCCATGCAAGCCCAGATTCAGAATCAAGAGACCGAGTCGCTGGCGGATTCTGTTCCCGATCTGCGACAGACCAACCCGCTGGGCGTTATTGGGGCCGGAACAATCGGCTCTCAGCGCGACACCGATAGTCCTGGACCGATGGCAGGTAGAAGCCTAGCAGACCTCTTTTCGGCACCTCAATCAGTCAGCTCGCCTGGTCTGTTCACCACAGCCGATCACAACCAGCCCCTGCTTGCCACTGCTCCACAAGGTCATCCTTTTGGTGCGGCTCAACAGTCAACTTCGTTCACCCCTGATCCTGTACCTACCGGACCTCCACAATCTCAGGCAAGGACTATGGTTATGCCAGATCGCATGCGCTGGGTATACATGGACCCTCAGGGTCAACAGCAAGGGCCGTTCACCGGCCTTGAAATGAACGAGTGGTATAAGGCCAACTACTTCACGCAAGATCTTAGGGTGCGCAAGGTTGAGGACCCGGACTTCGAGCCTCTAGGCCAGCTTATTCGAAGGATAGGCAATTCTCGTGAGCCGTTCCTTGTGCCGCAGGTTGGCATCCCTCACGGGCCTGCACCTCAGGCTGGCGCTTTCCCACCAGGAGGTGATGCCCGAGGTGTGATTCCGCCGCTACTTGGTGTTGTCCCTAGCTACGGCAAGACCTTGACGGCCGAGGAGCAGAACAATCTGGAGCGTCGCAAGCAGGAGGAGCAGCTCGCTATGGCCCGCCAGAGGGAGGTGATGTCGCAACAGGGCCACTTCCGCAATGTTCATACTGGCCTCCCTGGTGCCCTACAGCACCAGGCCAGCATGCACAGCTTGCAGAGTCAGCCAAGCTTTGGAAGTATGACCTCGCCCATCGGAATGCCCCCTCAACCGCCCATCGGCGGTGCGATAGGTGCCCCCACGCCAGGCTTCTTCGAGCCGCCCTCGACTGTCAATAAAGCTGCGGGCCTCCCGAATGCCATGAGCGCGGGACCAGACCATCTCCGACAGGACATGACAGATTCAGAGCGCCAATTGATGGCAAATTATCACGGACCTGGTGGCGTCTCCGGTATGTTCCTGCCTCAGCCTGTCGGTCCTCCTACAACAGACCTCAAGGGTCGACTTCCGAATGTCGACCAACTGGAGAGGGATCCCGAGGGGTTCAAAGATAGACTGAAGGAATTTCAGGAATACCAAGGCATACCCAACCAGCGCGCCGACGAGGAAGCCCAACCAGGCCTTTCTCCAAGTGGGCCAACCAGGGGACAGGCTGACGAAGCCGTCGCTGCGAAGCGTGCCGAGGCTGCTCGGGTGATAAAGGAGGCCGCTCAGGAATCTTTTCAGTCGCAGCCCGAGTTGAAGCACGCTGAGTCGCAGCAGAACCGACAGCCCCAACCAACGCAGAGCCTATCTCTGACCCAACAGGTGCAAAAGGCGCAGGCCGATGCTGCTCAGGCCGCCCACCGACAGGCGCAGGAGGAAGAAGCGTGGGCAAAGCAGTCCGCGTCCACCGGCCTTCCGATGCCGTTCCCTCCGCCACCGTCAGCAGCCACGCACCTCCCTGCGCCGACTGCCCAGCGGCGGTCCAACATCGCCGACCAGTACGCCGAGTCGCGCTCCCAGAGCCAAACTCCTGACAGTGCTACTGCGGCCCCGCCCCCGTTGGCACCTTGGGCTCGCGATCCTGGTTCCGATTCGCAGAAGGGGCCTAGCCTCAAGGAGATCCAAGAGGCTGAAGCCAAGAAGGCGGCTAAGCTCGAGGCGGAGCGACGCGCCGCCCACGACAAAGAGGCTGCACTGGCCAAAGAGCGCGAAAAGGCCAACCCAGTCGTCCTTCCCGGGCTGCCTACTTCCAGCACTTGGGGCAGTGGATCCCCGGCTCCGTCGGCGTCCAGCCCATGGTCTAAGCCTAGCGCTGTCAAGGCGGGTGTTGTGGCGACACCCGTCACCCCAACCAGTGGCGACCGCAAGAAGACACTGGCCGAGATCCAGCGCGAGGAGGAAGCACGCAAGCAGAAGGCGGTCAAGGAACAGACCTCGCAGACAGCTGCAGCTGCCGGTGCCACTGCCCTGGGCAAGCGATACGCCGAGCTCGCCAGCAAGACCGGACCGCCGGGCATTGCGACTTCCGCCGCTGCCGCCGCCAACGCTTCGCCCACTACGGCCAGCGGTTGGGCAACGGTCGGGGCTGGTGGCAGGGTCAAGATACCCACTGCGCCTGCGTCTCATGCCCCTCAGGGCCAGGGCATTTCCCAGTCGCCGAGCCCCTCCACGGTTCGCTCCCCATCAACTCAAGCACCCAAGGCACACGTCAAGCCCGCCACGACCCCGGTCACGAAGAGCAGCAGCACTGCTAGCGAAGCGCAGGGCGAGTTCCAGAAGTGGGTCAAGGCAGAGCTGACCAAAGGCCTCAACCCTGGCAGCCCAGTTGACGAGGTGACGGCGATCCTGACGGGCACCCCTTCTTCTCCCGATACCGAGATGATTAAGGACATTATCTACGGGTCGAGCTCGACCATGGATGCACCGCGCTTCGCGCAGGAGTTCATGCGGCGAAAGAAGCAGGCAGACAAAGGCATATTCGAGCCTGCTGCAGCCGAGTCGAAATCTGGGGCTGGCGCTGGCGGATGGTCCGAGGTGGCTAAGAAAGGTGGCTCGACCAGCCAAGCCAAGGACAACGACGTCGTTGGTGCGGCGGGCTTCAAGGTCGTCCCTGGAAGGAAGAAGGGCAAGAAATGAGCCACTCCCTATTCCTAGGCCCGACCCCCTGTTTCGGGAGCTGGTGTGTAGGCGCAGCGGACGAGCGGGTTGCAGTGGGTGCGCTGTAAGATGGACGCCGTCGTTGTGTTGGGCGTTTTGGTCACATGTGTGGGCTATGGCTGATGGAGGATCGGGACACAAAAGCAAGGGTTTCTCCCCGCTAAGGAGTGAGGGCTTGTGGCATTCCTGGCGTCATTATCTGGCACTTGTTGTAGGATCTTGGAGTGCTGCAGTCGTTAGGAAGTGTGCTTCTTAGATGTGGGGACAGTCCCGGTCCTGACGGCCGCTTTCGCTCTGCACGTTGAGCAAGAAGCCGTAGCGATAGCGGTAGTGGTATCATGCAGAAGTAGCAGAATTGTAAAATGCGCCTTATGGCTCCCCGAATGTCTTGTTCTCTGATCGAGTCTGATCGCGTCCGCCTCCAGAATTCTTTCGGTCAGTCGGATGGCGTTGCCGTTGAAAGGGGACCTACAACACCTGCGGTAGACCTGGGGTGGCAGATAAGATAAGCCCTTACCCAGCAAATTTTCAGATGCCCCTCCATGACCAATCGCCATTCCGGTCGCCCTCCAAACCTTGAGACCGGGCCTCTGACTGTGTCTTGGGCTTCACAACCACCTTCCTTCCTGTCCTTGGAGTTGGATTGCTTGCTTTTCCCGATGGCACCATCATTACAGGACGGCCTGGCTGCCTTCAACGCCTTCCTTCAGGCCAACGTGACCGGTCCTGTTCTCACCCGCGACCAAATAAACCTAGCGGCTCCCTACTTGGACTCACCAGAGTTCGGCTTGGGAATCCGGTCGCTGGATGTGGATGGCGTCGGAGTCTACCCTTTTATCCCTCACATCGATTTGTTCTGTCTGGCAAGACACGTTATTGAGAATGTGGCCTCGGAGTCGGAGTGGGCAGCAGCTCAGGCTCAAGCGGGGTTTCAGGGGCCCTTGAGTCTGGCATGGATGAAGCTTAGGCTGTACGTGTGGCACTATAAGCTCTTCATCCAGCCAAGCCTGAGCTCCGGGAGTGTCTTCACCAAGAACGTGGGTATGAGCGAGGTGCCGAGCCTGGTGGAGAAGATCCAGGAAGGATTGGCCCGGGTGGAAGGCGACGTCTTGGGCGAGGCGTGGGAAGTCTCCGAGACTGCGTCAAAATACTCGTCAGAAGACAAGGTGCGATTCTTGGTGGAGAAGGCCAATGTTTGCATCATGCTGGGCCAAGACGTCAAAGCACGGGAGGCGCTGAAACTCGCCGCGGAGCTCAACGGCTTTGTTTATGCCCTGTCCGGGGCGCTGGGGAAGAGGACGCGGTTCCAGGATAAGAGCACTAGCCAGCTCGTGGTGCTTGCTAAAAGTGATGTCGAAACATCCAAGGAAGGAGAGGAGGATGAGGCTCCTCAAGCGCTGCCCCTGAACGACGACACCCTTCTGGAGCAGATCGAGTTTTCCAAGGACGGAACGGAGGGAAAGCACGGCGAGGAAAACCTATCAGCCACGGAATCAACGCTCCCCGTTCAGCTGCGGGACATCAAGGCCGACCAACAGCCGCAGCTTTCGACCCTCGACCAGATCATCCTTCTTACTGAAGCCACACTGAAAGATGCGTTTTCACCGGCAGACACGCTTACCTCGGAGGAGATCCTGCCGTTTGCAGTAAGAGTCATCAATGACAAGAGCACAAACTGGCAGGTCTACACGCAGGCACTGCTGGTGCGGTCGAGGATCGAGATGCATCACAGCAGGACTGTGGAGAGGGGTGTGCTGCAGATGCAGGCGGTTATCGACCAGGTCCTTGTTGACACTGCCGAGAAGGTCACTTCCGGTCATCAAGGGGACGCGCCAGCCAGGACCGAAAATACAGATGTTCCAGCCATATCAGTCTCGGTCGCCGACGAAGACCCGAAGGCAAAGCAGGACAGGGAATCAGCCGCGCCTGTTGATGAGAAACCAAAGCCTTTCTTCCCTGTTGCCGAATCAACCGAGTCGGCTTCAGCGGATGTTAGGCTGCAATACATACACGCTCTTTCGTCGCCTCCACGATGGCATCTCGAATCGGAACTGGCTTACGCATGGACAGGTGTCGGGTCCCTGGTCTCGGCACTCGAGATCTTCAAACGTCTCAAGCTCTGGGCTGAAGTCGCGCTCTGCCTAGCAAGCAGCGCAACGCTGGACGACGAGGACGGCAGCGGAAGGGGAGGCGGCGGTGAGGAGAAGGCTCGAGCAATCATCCGGTGGCGGCTATTCCACCGTAAAGACGGAGACCCTGCAGCGGCCGACGAAGAACTTGACAAGAACACAGAGATATCAACGCTCAAGGCTGAGGACTTTACTGGTCCTGAGAGGACTCCGCCCCAGCCCAATGCACCAAGGCTGTTCTGCATCTTGGGCGACATGGAGTCCGACTCAGCAGTGGCGCATTACGAGCGCGCGTGGGAGATCTCGAAGAATAGGTACGCCCGGGCACAAAAGTCGCTGGGAGAGCATTATCTTGCACTGAAGGACTGGCACAAGGCGCGTGAGGCGTACGATCTGGCCGTGTCTGTAAATCGGATCGCGCCAGAGTTATGGAACCGCCTCGGGGACATCAACCTCCGGCTCGGGCTGTTCGGCGACGCGGCGGAAGCGTTCACCCGAGCAATCGGGTCATCCAACGATACCTCTGGAGGCGAGGACGCGCGGACGTGGAGCAACCTGGGCAGTGCTCTGTACAGCATGTACCTCGAGGCAGTGGGCGAGAGTAAGAAGGCTAAGGAAAACGGTGACGAGAGCGATGCGCCAACAAACGGACACAAGCGCGGGGACGATGAGGAGGACGAAGAACCACGGCCGTCGACGAAGAGGACTCCGAAAGATCCAGCGATGCTGCTCGTCCAATCGATGAAGGCCTACAAACGCGGGGCGTCAATAGCAGGCGACAATTGGCGCATCTGGGACAATGTCATCACACTGGCCACGCGCATGCGGCCCATGCCGTTCTTTGAGATCATCCAGGCGGTGCGGTCCATCATCCGGCTCCGCCAGACGGAAGATGCGCTTGACGACGACATCCTCAGGCTGCTCCTGACAGATGGCGTCTTGTCCGTGGAGAAGAAGAACGACGCCAACCCGGGCGGGGTGTACGAGCCGCCCCGCGGGAGCGTGGAGAGGAACGTCAACGAGATGATGGAGAACGAGGTCGCGCCGCTCATCACGAGCCGGTCCGAGCTGTGGGAGCTGGTGTCGCGCGTGAGAGTGTGGAGGAGGGACTACGAGGGCGCTATCGACGCCTCGGAGAAGGCGTGGCGAGCCGCAGTCGGCGGAGCCACGTCGGGCGCGAGCTCCATGGGCGGCGGCCTGACTGCCGACTCTGCCAAGTCCAGGTCAGAGGGCGGCGGCGGCGGCGGCGGCGGCGGCGGCGGAAACTGGCTCGAGGACAAGGAGGCGTGGCAGGTCGTGGTTCAGAGGACCGATGAGCTAGTAGCGGTGCTGGAGAACTACGGCCCGCAGGTGGAGAGCGTCGGGGAGAAGTGGAAGGGAAAGGCTAGGGCTGCGATCCGTAGCGTGATGGGCAAGGGCAAGGAGAACTGGGAGGATAGCGATGGCTGGCTGACTTTGAAGGGACTCCTAGACGGGCTGAGGGCATAGGCAGATAGATACCCAGGGAATATGAGTGACATGGACGCAAAGGCACAATGTGTTCTGCGATGCTCGTCTGCGTGACTCCATTGCAAGAAGGTTGGCTTGTGTTTATGTTGAATGGATAACAAGTGACTGGGTGAGTTCTGTAAAAGCGATGCTTGAAGCCGGTTGGTTTTTGTTCAGCAGGAATACCAAAGCGTTTCTTGTCTCTGGTAAGTCGAAGTGGCAGAGATCGGTGTGTGATTGCACGAGTGACAGGGACTGGTGGACTGAGAGTATGAGCTACAGTTCATACAAACTTCCCTATCAGTGCTAAGAGAAAGAGGCAGTCGAAGTCGGACAGGACATCTCTGATCCAGGAGTACCGTTCTGTGCTCTGCAATTGCGTAGCTTCTATTGTGGCCCTAACAAGCCAGTACGGGTAAACCACCCAGCAAAAACTGCGGATCAACAAAAATCCAGTGAAGATCATGAAGTTCGCCTGATCCTTGCTGCCGTCCTGAGCTCCTTTGGTGCGAGAGGCGAGAAGCCGGGACCAGCCGTCGACATCACCAGACAATCACGGTGGGCAATCACCGATAGTGGGCCACGAGACGATCAGGGATTGATCACTTTTGAGCCATCCTCGGATACACTGATAATGATTGACTACTTGAAATAATGAATAACACATTCTCATAGCTCTGGGATGGCTCTTGGTTGCTACTCCCAAGCTCCACTCTCGTGGCGGATGACTCCCCATTGTGAACACGGCATACCATCCCCCTAGCCAATTTCTCACATCTTGACCTTTCCTTCGACGCAGGAGATGGGGCGGCCGTCCGGAAACCTGGCGAATGCGTTTATACCATAAGTACCCTGTGTCGAGGTTAGTAGAAACCCCAGACAGACATCCTGGCAGAGCCCTTGGTGCTGCTTACATGAGGGAAGCCCTTCTTGGGGATGGGCCAGGTCCCATTGACGAGGAAATCGGAGGGCGCCACTGGGCAGTGTTGCCCCATCTTTCCCAGCTCTTCACAGATGTCGAACCGTTTGTGGTACACCGCAGTGCCGAGGGACTTTACCTTGACATCAACGACGGCGCCCTGCACGATGGGTTCGTTGACCCTCGCTGTCGCAAAGACTACGAGGTCCTGGCCCCCTGTCATGTGCTTATCAGCGCGGTGTGGATTTGCTATCCATTCTTAACAGACACATTACCTTATGGGTGGGTTGGGGACGAGGTCGACGTGGGTGATCTTGACCTATTGTCAGTTAGTAAGATTCATGTTGTGGTGCTCAAAGAGCCCTGCTCTGGGAGGCTCCAAATTTTGCCGAGGTAAAGCGGAGCTCTATACACACAGCGTCGTCGCTACGGTCGCCTTTGCAAAGGTTGAACGAGTTATCGCCTGGGTCCCTTACAGGTACCCGTGGAGGTCTCAGGTTTTGTTTGTTTCGCTATAGTCACGTAGAGTCGTGGATTGAGCGGTAGCAGAGGTGTCCAAATCCAGAATGCTGCCTTGCGAAGGTTGCGGCGATAACCTAAATTCAGTTGACAAAATCCAAAATCTTTTCCTTCTCATGAATCCCGGCCTAGGATTTTGGTTCATCCGCTGCGCGGGCCGTGGTTGGATCGAGTTTACATTCATCTTGAGGCACCAGGGAGGGATATGCGTATTTGCTTGCGCACAGCTTACCCTACCCAGTCAAGGCATAAAGTTTCTATGATCTAGAGCCATCGCAACAGCAGCCCCGAATAGGTGGATCCAACGTGAGGCTTTGAAAACAGACCGTGTCGTGCAAGCATGGACGAGGAAGGGGAAGAAACGATTTGGTCATTGTGTGCTTAACTAGGAACCACGTTTCCATCCTCGTCCAAAACACCGATCTCGCCACCTGCAATGCACTCTGGCGCGTCTTGCGCCAGTGCATCAACCTCGTTGACATTGAGCCTGAAGCACGACCCGAATTGATTGCACTCTCCCTCCTCTCCGTCAACCGTGCACGCCACGCCCTCGTTGCCGAAGACAACATTACCTTCGCCATTAATGAAGCCGCTGAAGTCATCCTCCTGGCTAGAGAAGTCTTCTATAAGAAGAATGGGAATTAGCATTTTGCCCGGTCGCTTAGTGCAGCCTTGAGTGGTCGGCTAGTGTTGCTTTCTTACTGGCAACGGCATGCCCAGCAGCCAACGTGACAATAGACAGTATGATAACCTTGAACTGCATTCTCGCGGAATTTTAGTGGCTTCTTTTGGTTTGAGGTAGTTATTGAACTTGACACGCGTGGGTTGTGATCGAGTAGACAACAGTGAGGTGGGTGAGCACGATTCGATGGACCGGGACCCAATGAGAGCGGAACATGTCTGATTTATAGACGCCTAGAACCGTACTGTGCGGGATGGCAAGATTCGGGCCCAAGACATGCCCGTGATATTCGATGAGCTGCCAAGCTCATGATGGCAGTAGCTTCTGTGGTGGTTGACACGCGACAGTTGTAGCCAAGCTTGGTCCCCGACGCCTCACATTTGAAACAGCGCTGCAGCACGCTTCTAGGCCAGGCTGACATGCTAGGGAGCCCTGGTCAAGGCGTAGGACTCTTTACCTATGTTTTGGTCAAAAGGGTACAACTTTCCGCGCACACAAGGTATTCAAGCCAATATTAAAACCTTAGGCATGCGATGAAAGATGCCATCCCAAGTCTAAATAACTTCAGCTGGACTCATCTCCTTGTCATCCTGTCACTGAGGTAAGTCGCATCACACGATCTGACAACCCTGCCGAAACCATGGCCAACTCTACTCCAGTGGAGTCTATGCTTAAAGGATGAGGGGTTTGCATCACCGTCGGCTTCAGCCCTAGGGGTATTCCAAGGAACTTCCAGGTGTCAGGCTTAAGACTGTGTTTTGGGCTCTTCACCTTCACTGCTTTTTTCTGAAAATGAGAATGTCCCTCAGAATAATCGCGTTCTGAACACAGGAACGTGGCGATAATTGAAGGGCAGAATCATCATGGAATCTTTGAATATTCCATCTACCTAGTTAGAACTGGGGTATGACTGACCTTCCGTCCAATTGGTGAACATGGTAGTAGCTACAATTCTGATCAATCTTACGCTGTTAAATAAACCGTTCTGCCTTTCCAGAAGCAAATACTCTTGATATAATTCAACTGATTTCGAGTCCATGATTGAAACTATTATGTACAAGTCATAGTAGCTTCGCGTTTTGAGTGACCTCAATGTACGTACATGTAGAGAGAGCATACGTCCAGGAGTTTGCCGTCTCCAGTCTTCAGCCTCTACCTAGGCATGCTACACGAGATTGATGGAACAGAGCGTGCTAATCATATTGTTAGCAAGTACGACCCTCGCACTTAAAAGGCTACTTTAATTATCCCCTCCAAGGCATATAGCCTTTCAAAACTTAGATAGAACAATACCAATATATAATTGCTTCCCATATAATTATCATATGTATAAAAAACCTATTAATACTAATTAATAATTATAAGCACTATAAATTAATAAGGTAGAAAAGGTAATTTTATAAGGATTTCCCTAACTTAAAATTATATTCTCCTTATTAGTAAACATTATATAATAATGATTGCTTTTTTAAGCCTCCCTATATTATTAAACTCCTTAAGCAAATATTATAAAGATTAAATAAATTAAGTAGCATTTCTTATAATATTTATATATATATTTATTGCTATTTAGGAAATATGCATTTATTATGTATAAGACTTTATTAAAAATAAACCTATCTTTAATTCCTTTTTAAAACTTAGTAAAACTTAGTAAAACTTTATTTTATTAATAAATAAAGTTTATAATTATTATAATTGCTAAAGTTAATGTAATATTATGTTATAAATAAGCGTAAGTTATATATTATGCTTTTAATTAATATAAAAGGATTTAATAATAAAAGAAAGCCTTAGCTTTTAAGGCTTAAAGGAATTAATAACTTTTTTCTTTTAATAACTATAATTTACTTATTATTAAATTATTATTATTAACTTACTCCTAAATATTACCTATTTTATTAATATTTCTTTATTTTATTAATTTCATTCCTTATAATATTTATTATAAAAACTTATAAGTATAGCTAATAATGCTAAGAAGCTATTAGCTTTTATTAAAGGGTATATAGTTAATAAAATGCTTGCTTAAACTTTAATTAACCTGGCCTATTATGGATATTAAAAACGAGCTACTTAAATAAATGGGGGATAGGTTTTGCTAAACCCTTTTAAGGATAACTTAAGGAGGAGCTTTAATGTAATAAAAAAGGAAGATAGGAATAAAAGGAAGCTAAAGAAAGGAAAAGATAAGTATTTTAAAAATTCTTAAAAATAAGAAAAGCTTAATTAAAGCATTAAATATATAAAAAAAGAAAAAAGTTAATTTTTTTAAAAATATTTAAAATAAGTATAAAAGTTAACTTTTTATAATTAATTAAAATTTAATATAATATTATTTTTTATATATTTCCTTATATTTATTAATATACCCCTTTTTAAGTACTTTATAGTAAATATTATAAAAATTATTAAAATAAAACCTTATTACCTTTAATTAAGCCTTTAAGTTTTAAAATCTACCTTATTATAATCTTAATTATTATTATTATTTTTAATTCCTTACTTATTTATCTTATTATAGCTTTTATTTCTTTATAAAAGCTTTAAATATTCTTAAGATTTACTTAATAATATATTTATTAATTATATCCTTTTAATTATTAAAATTTAATTTAATAATTAATATTAATATAATTATTAAAAATTTAAATATCTTTATAAAATAAAAAATAAATTTATTTTTCTTTTTAATTATTATATTAAGCATAATATATTAACTTTATTAACTTTTATTTTTGCTTTTTATAAAGCTTTTATTTTTAAATTCTATAATTTATATTTAATTACTTAGCTAATTTATTTATAAGCCTTTTAAATTATTCTTAAGTAAATTTAATTATTACTTTAATTATTTAAAATTAATTAATATACTTTAAGTTTTATTTATATTTATTATTAAAATAAATAAATAAAAAAGATTTTTATATATATTAAAATAAGCAATCCTTATTAGCTTTAAAATATCTTATAATATAATACTTAAGTTAAAGGCTTATTTAATTAAAGTTTTACTTAATTAATTTTAAACTATATAAAAGTTTATACTTTATTATATATTAAATATTTAAAATTAAATTATTAAATTAATTTATATTAAAGATATTATTTTCCTTATACCTTTTTTATAATTAATAATAATCTTAATATATTATAATTTAAATTATTATTATTAAATAATTTCCCTTTATAATAAAAGCTTATTTCTTACTTTAATTACTTTTATATTATTAATCTTAATAAAAGAAATTAATATAAATATTTAAATAACTTTATAAATCTTATTAAGCTTTAATTAAATAATAAATATTTAAGTAATAATATTAATAATAGCTTTAAATATTATAAGGTATATAATTTTAATTAAAAAAGCTTTAGCTTAGTTTTATACCTCTTAATTATTCTTTTTTTAATTTTCCTTAAAGTAATTTTTAATAAACTTAATAATATATTATTTATAAAATACTTTATTAATTTATTTCAATCTTAATATAAATTTCCTATTAAAATCTTACATTTTATTTTTTAAAGTAATTATTAAATATTTATAAATAAGTGCTTTAACATTTTTATTTATTTTATTATTTTTATTTTTTAATATAAAATTATTTTATAATAATAATAATTTATTTACGCTATTCTAAGCTATTACTAGCTAAAAACCATTTAATATGCAGTCCCTTTGCTAATTTATTCATAGGGAAAAACCATACTAAATAGCTAAAAAAAACCCTTACGCCATAACCTTTTTATAATAATACAGCTACTTATTCATGCTATACTAAGTAGTATAAACTTTATACCTATACTTAAAAATCCTTAAAAAGGGAAATTTTTCCTTTTACTTTACAACCCTTTTATAAGGTTTTTAATTTACTTATTTATTATTTTTTAAATAAAAAGGCGGTAAAAAATTATTTATATAAGTAATAAAATTTAGGCTAAAAAGCATAAATAGCTATAACCCCTTATTTATTTCTCTTTCTTATTCTTTTAATAATATACCATTTTTTAAGTAAGTTCTTAGCTATTAGCAATCTTGCGAAATATTTAAGTGCTTTGCAACGGTATTATAACCCCTTTATAATTTCTTTTTAATAATTCCTAGCCTTATACTTTTATTATTATTTTTATAACCTATCCATAATCTTTATTATATTAAATAATATTAAGAATATAGTTAAGGCCTTAAATTAATATTTTCGCCCTTACTTTATAACCTTTAGCAATTTTATTAAATTTCTTAATAAAACCAATAATAATAATAATGATTTTTAAAAGGTTTTAACATCCTTTTAAAAGCATTGCTATATTAATATTGCAACCCTTAAGAAATCTAGCTTTAAGGGCATTACTTTAGCTATTATAAAAAGCATTATTAATAACTTTATTATAACCTTTTTTAAGGCCTTTAAGGTAATATTTATAAATATAATTAAGCTTAACTATATCTTAATTTATATTTAAATCTTTAAAATGCTAAAGTAAGTTTTTAATAAATTTATTATAATCTTTAGCTATTTTCTTATTATTATTATTACTTAAAATTATATTTTAAATAATATTTATTTTTATTATATTTATATTAAGCGCTATATTAATTGCAACTACTTTATTATAACTTTTTGCATTTAAGTTATAAGTATATTCTCATAACCTTATTATATCCCTTTTATAATTTCGCTATTAATTATTTAAGTAAAAGGAAAAATAAAAAGCTATTATTAATATTATAAAGGAAATTATTAAAAAAATTATATTATTATAAAATTTTTTTAATACTTTTTTATAACTTATCTTTAATTTCTTTATAAATCTATGCTAAAGCTCTTATTTTTAAAATTAATATAGCTTTCTTTAATATTATTTATACTTTATGCTTAACCTTTAAAATTAAAAGCTTTAATAACGTTATTAGCATTATAACCTTTATAAATATTCTTTACTTTATCTTTATAACCTTAATTAATATTTATAGCTAAATAATTATTATTATTCTTTCCTTAATAAATACTTATATATAATTAATAAGTTTAAATTTAATAAGGCAAAGCTTATAATTATTAAAATATCTTAGGCTG